CCAGGAAGCCCAGGGTGCAGGTTTTCCAGCTTTATTTCCCATCCAAGTAGGATAATGAGGCTGAGAATCATTCTGGAAAGGGGGTGACAGAATGGGGTATAGAGTTCCTGAATGAAAGTCGAAGGACCTTTGCAGGTGAAAATTGCCAGCAATATATTTTTTTTTTTTGTCTTTTTCCTTTTTATCGGTACCGGGGATGGAACTCATGACTGCCTGCTTATAAGGCAGGCGCTTATGCCGCTGAGCTAAACCTCCAGCCCGCCAGCAATATTTTTATAGATAGATACTATTGTCCACCTTCCTCTTGCTCCCCGTCCTGCTGGGGCATCTGCTTTCACTCCTCTGTGCATCAGCTGGGAGCCGAGGCTGCAGGAGCCAGGCAGCCTCCCTAGGCTAAGCTGTTAGCCTCAGCCCTGAGGTGGCCGTAGCACCCTGCAGGCTGCGGTGCTCAGGACAGGCATTGGGTGCAGGGGGGGAGGTGTGTGAGGAGGTAAGAAACTGCAGCAGGAGAGGCCATTGCCACCCCGGGCCTGAGGGGAGGACGCTGATAGCTACCCTCCCCCCACCTGCCAGACCTCCTCAAACCCAGGCTCCTGGGACCTCCTGCCCCTCTCTGTACCACTCAATTTCAGAGCAGTTTGTCTTCAATCAGCCACCTCAAGGCCTCAGGCCTCCAATGGGAGCCACTGTTTCCCCCCTCACTCCCTTAAACGCCAGGCAGATATCCAGGTATTTCCTGAGCATCCTCGAGTAGACAGGTGGGAACCCAGATCTGGTGAAGCCACACAGCTCAGCCAGTGGCATGTGTAGACCCAACGGTGCCCAGTGGGTGGGAGAGGCTGGGTCTCTATAGGCCTCTGGGGAGGTTGGCATCCCTGGGGCTGGTATGCAGGAGGCATTTGTGTGGGAGTCCAGAGTCAACACAGACCCTAAAGATGAGGAGGCAGCGGTGAGATGTGAGCAAACCCTCTCTGGGAGAATGTGTATGGGAAGTCAAAAATATTCAGCGGATCCACGTGGGAGTCTAGGGGAGCAGGACTTGGTGGAGTCCAAGGAGGACAGAGCTTTACTACCGGGCAAAAGGGTGTGAGTTTCACCAGTGCGGGTTCCCGTGTGAGGGCAGGCAGGCTGTCTAAAGTGCTTTGTGTTTCCTATGGAGCTGGATTTTTCCCTTCAGAGCTGTGCTGTCCCATCTGGAAGCCACTAACCACAAGGAGCTTGTGAGTGCTTGGAATGTGGCTAGTTCCAAATGAAATGTGTTGTAAGAACAAAACATGTGCCAGATTTCAAAGACCTAATATTTTAAAAAAGAGTGTAAAATGTCTCAATAATCTTTTTCATCAAATACATATTAAAATCACATCTTGACTATATTGAGTTACATATAATGGTATTAAAATTAATTTTGCACATCATTTTGTTTTTTTAAAGGTGATTACCAGAAAATTTAAAATTCCCTAGTGGCTCACATTATAATTCCATTGGACAGAGCAGGTGTAGCCTTTCAGTGTCCTTTAAAAAACAAACAAACTCATTTCTTTCCTGTTATCAGGACTGTCTTCCATTGCTTTATCTTCTTACAGCTCTTCTTTCCCTCTTTGCCCTTCGGGTCTGTCCCTTTTACTGTCATGAAGGTAACTGTCAGAGCGAGGAGGAGGAGACCCAGAGCCCGCTTTCTCACGCCCCCATCCCTGGACTCATCAGAGCCAGAATCACGAGGCAGGCAGAGAGGCCCTACTTATCCAGAACTTGTAAGAACTAAGGTTGTAGGTAATTGTTTTCTGGCTCATTTTAATTTTTATTTCTTTTTGCAAGTTTTTTAAAAACAAAGAAATCTATCAACATGTACAACATTTACAAACTCAAATAGACCCAAATAAGATGTATTTAGTAAAATAGCCGTTACCTGCCTCCACCCTTCCCACTAGGGTTAAATTCGCTTCAGCTCAATGCTTTCAACCTTTCAGGCATTCATTTCCTGACTTACAGAAGTTACTGAGGAGATTTATAACCAAATAGAGGGTTATTTGATTTTTTCAATTTCTGACATTGTCTATATTCTTCATATTATGGAAAAAATGTTTTCTGTTCTATAGTTTATCAGCTACTTTATTATTAATATGTATATATTATTACTGCTGGGCCAAGTAGAACATTATAATTACGTTTGTTTGCACAACTTTTTTTTCTGGAGGCGATCCTTGCCTTATTTCTTTTGTTATTGTCTTGCCTCCTATGATTTTTAAAAATAAATTCTACCAAATTATCAGTTTATAATTCTTCAAATTGTATTTTCATGTGGCCGAATTTATCTGTAATTCTGGTTTTCCATCCTTCTTCCCACCAGATAACCTACCGAACCCTACCCTTGTGAGGAACTTTCACACAACTGTTTGCTAGAGACTATTCTGCCCCTTTGGGGTGCGCCTCCATTACATTGTTCCTTTTTTTCCTTGGTTTCTGTCAGTAAGTCTTTGAGGAGAAGGTTAATTTTTATTTGAAATGGCTTTATCCTATGCCCTCAGTTGATTAATGGACACGGAAATCTGCATTGAAAATCATTCACCCTTTGCCCCAGAACCTGGAAGGCAATGACTCTATAGTTGCTAAGTTCCTAGGGCCACTTCTGAAAAAAGTCTGATGTTCTTCTGATTTCTGCCTTTTGCATAGGAGCTGTGTACTTTCTTTGGGGGGGGGGTGTTAGAATGGCCTCTTGGCCCGTTTGGAGATTTCACAGGGTGACGCTGGAGAGTGGGTTCTTATCCCCATCTGCATTGCTGGGTACTTAGGCCTCCTTTTTTATTGAGAACCACAAACCTTCAGTTCTGAAAATATTTTTGTGATTTTTTTCATAATTCTTCCTCTACTAGTTCTTCCCTTTTTTCTCTCTCACGAGTGCAATGTGGAGTCACGTGGTCAACCTTGTCTCATTCTACTTCTGGGAAATGTTCCTGGTTTAATCTCTAACTTCATCATTGAATTTTAGATTTTGCTTTGTATATTTTTATTTTCCAAGAGCTCGCTTTCCATATTTTCATTTTCTTTTCTTTTTTTTTTTTTTTTTTTTAATCTTTTTTGAGATGGGGTCTCGCTATGCAGTTCAGGCTGACCTTGAGCTCACTTTGTAACCCAGGCTGGTCTCGACCTTGTAAGGATCCTCCCACCGCAGCCTCCGTTGGAGTGCTGGGATTACAGGTGTGAACCACCACACCCGGCTCTCTGGGGTACTGGGGATTGAACTCACGACTTCGAGCTTGGCTTTACTTGCCAGGCAGGCACTTAGGCCACTGAGCTAAATCCTCGGCCCCTTCATTGTTTTTCTTAAATAGGTTCCTCTTGTTTCAGGATCTAACATCTTATTTCTCTGAGGATACGGAAGCCCCCGCCCCTGCCCTAACTGCTCAATCCTAACATTATCCCTGTTCCTCTGACTTTATTTTTGTTTTCCCCTTTTAAGTTTGACATGTTTTCCCTCTTTTTCACTTTGCAACCTTCCTCATCAGGTCCGTGCACCATCTGATCATGTCAGACAAAGCAAGCCACTAACAGCTGTGCAGAAGCTCTGTGTGACTATATGTAAGAACAGACTTACAGCTAATTGGCATCATTACATAGTGGCTAGGGAGACAGACCCGTGCATTTCATTGGGCCGCTATCACCGAGAGGAACAAATAGAGCCTTTTCTATGACCAAGGATTTTCTTGAGAGAAGCATCCCTCAGTTTTCAGCCCACAGCAGTGTGCAAAGAGAGACACATGCTGGTGTCAGGATTTTTGGCACCAAGAAGTAGAAGGAGGTAGGGAGTTGCAAAGTTCCATACACAGATCTTTACTTAATTGTATTGGACGTAGTGCTGCATGTCTGACTAGTGTCACCTACCCCGCTGGGGACTTTCTGGGAGAGGGAGAGAAGCCCTGAGAATAACAACTGTCCTTTGTGGAGACTTGTCTTCAGCTTCTTTCTGCTCAGCTCTCTCCCTTCTCTCCTGCCTTCTGAGGTAGCTGCTACCTCATTCCTGACCTTTCCAGCCCCTCATGACAAAGTTTGTCCACTTCTTGCTGATCACCCCTACAGAGGCACTTGGTGTCTGATTTCTCAGCTGTGCTAATTCCTTCATCTGTTTTCCATCTTCCTAATTTCGGTTGACATCTGTTGCCTGCTGATGTCACTTGTCCTGTTCTGTCTTTGTGTCTGTTTATGGTCTCCTTATTCTGTTGGTCTCATTTCAGTGGGGTTTGGGAAGGAGCAGATGTGTGTTGAATCTGCCATGTTTAGCAAAGTTCTTCGTAAACCTCTCTGTACTGTGCGGTCTACCTCCTTGCCTCACTGGAAGATTCCACAAGTGCCCAGAGCTGACCTGAAAAATGGAGAATTTGCAAAGTTTTCTTGTCATCAAATGCAGTATAGGTAGAAAAGTACTGGGGCCTAAGTTAAATGTGACAAAAGTCCAAGTTGTATGTGGATATATTTGGTTTTAAATATATTCTAGATATTATAAAGTATTATTTATGTAATAAATTGTTTCATGTGACTTGCCCCCTTAAAACTACAATGCAAAACAACTTGTGGCTTCTTACTGTGGAACAGGGCTTGCTCTCTGGGTTGGATCTTGGTTAGCCAAGGTCTCAGGGAAGTTCACAGACGGGCGAGGCTGCCCTAAATTTTCTCTATGTGGTGCATACGAGATTATATGGAAGGAGTTCAATTCAAGAAAGCAAATCTGCCATTGGGGACCCTTAAACCTCTTTAACAAGTGTGTTAACTATTTTTTAAAAATGTTTTTCAGTTCATTAAACATCCTTTCCCCTCCAACACAACACACAACACCGCAGCGTGAAAGATGACCATGTGCGGATGAGAGTATTGGAAATGCTGTGCGCTGACAAAGGCCTGAGTTTCACCAGCTCCAGGCTGCCCGGGCGGGCTGGGGACCGCGGTCCGGAGTAGTGGGAGAGTCCCAGTGCAGGTCCTCATGGACACTTCTGTCCTTGCCTCCCCAGGTGCCCCCTTTCAAAGGTCTCAGCATCCGCACGCTACCTCCTGCCGCCACTTCCACCTGGGCCCCCCGCAGCCACAGCAGCTCGCCCCCGACTTCCCGCTGGGCCACCCCGTGCAGTCGCAGCCGGGCCTCAGCGCCCACATGGCCCCGGCCCACCAGCACAGCGGCGCCCTGCACCAGTCGCTGACCCCGCTGCCCACCCTGCAGTTCCAGGACGTCACAGGTCCCTCCTTCCTACCTCAGGCCCTGCACCAGCAATACCTCCTGCAGCAGCAGCTCCTGGAAGCCCAGCACCGAAGGCTCGTCTCACACCCCAGGTCCACTGCCACTGCCGGCGCCAGGGGGCGGGGACAAGGAAGGGGCTGGGCTGGGTGGAGGTGAGGCCTGGCGACAGCCACAGCCAGGCTAAGGCAGGGGGCGGGGCGGGGCGCGGGGGGGGGGCGTGGGGGGGGTTCTGGGGAAGTGAGCTCTGATTCTTCTTGGATTCTACTTGCCAGACTTGGCCAGCAGTTGCCAAGTGGCTCTGCAGGAGGTAGCTTTTGCCTCTGTTGGTGACATTCATTTCAGACAGTGAGCTGGACCATTACCTGATGGTTCCTTTAGAAAGCTAGTGTATGTCTCCATCATATCATCCCCTCAGGGTCTGGGATAACTTGTGGTCTGCGGTGTTCACAGTGGACTTTTGTAGGCATGGGAAGAAATTTAGCTAGAGACCTCAGGATCCTTCCAGCCTATAACCATTTCATTCTAATACCCAAGAATCATAAAGAATTCCAAAGGAAACCGCTGGTTCTAGCTCTGCCCTCAAAGAATCCAAGTCTCGTTGAAAAGTCCAGCTGCGGACCCATAAAACAAGAGATAAAAATTAGACTGCTAATCAAATGGCTCTGAAGTAGCTGTACTTCTCTGAGCCTCAAGAAAAGAAAAAGAATTGAATTAGTCCAGTGATCCTCAAACTTTCTAGTCATAAGACCCTCTTTATATGCTTCAAATGAATGACCACAAAGAACTTCTGTTCATGTGGGTTAGAGCATCAATATTTACCATCTTAGAAATTATTTTTAAAAAAATGATCAATTCACTAAAAAATAAGTCCTTATGCTAAACCAATACAATATCTTAATGAAAATAACCGTATTTTAGTGAGAAGAGTGACTTTTAAAAAAATTTGCAAGTCTCTTTAAGGCACAGTTTAATAGAAGAGCTGTATCCTTACTTCTGCTTCTGTACACAGTCTTGCAGAATGCCATTCACAAAGTTTCGAGAAAATTCCACTGTTCTCCTGTGAGAGAATGAGGGTGAAAAGCAAACTGCATCATAATTTGATGTCTCAAACCACCCCAAAGCACCAGGGACTCCCAAGGATGCTTGGAGTGCTTTGAGAACCACTAGCATAGGTGATCTCTAAGACTGTGGGCATTGGTGGCTATAGCACTTGAGATCCTTGGGACAGGAGAGCAGCGATGTAGCAGGTCAGAGGTGAGGTCACCAAGATCTGGAGTATGCAGGGGGGTCTTCCTGGAGAATAGGGGCTTTGACTTTAGCCATTAAAGTTGGGAAGAACATGGAGAAAGGAGGAGGAAAGAAGGTGGTAGAAATGGAGAGGGCAGCCCACAGGAGGGACATCTTATGTTTTGAAGACAGCCCTCCAGGAACAGAGTGGGAGCATCAGAAGAAGGACAGAGGGAGTGACAGAATTTAGGAGGACTCCAGTGGCCTGCCACACACACCTAGGGAGAGGCCTGAGGTCAGTGGGCAGCCTGAAAAAAACCGGAAAGGCCAAGTGACCAACTGCTACTCATCTGGGAAGCTCCCTTGGAGTTTGGGAAGGGGGGTGAAACCCATCACCCCCTAGTCTATGGGCTCTGTGTGGTCTCCTCTGGTTGGTGGGCATTGCTCAGAGTTGTGGGAGCTCACCTGTTCCTGGCAGGTCTTGATGTCATGGGCTCTGTCTTTGCTTTCTGGTGCAGGCGGAGTCAGGAGCGTGTTTCCGTCCACCCCCACCGCCTCCACCCCAGCTTTGACTTTGGCCACCAACTGCAGACCCCTCAGCCCAGGTATTTGGCTGAGGGCACTGACTGGTGAGTTTCTGGGATACCTGGGGGAAGGACATCTGTCAGTCTTGCCAGATCCATGGGGTTTCTGTTTTTCTTCACTTTGAATGATGCAGAGAGCCTAGACTTCAGTCCTTGGCCTATCTCCCTGTCCCTAACTACCCTCAGGGTCAGCTGGTCTCACTTGGCTCTGGTTCCAGCAGCTAGTTTAGATATAACTCGATTTCATCATGTGCCTAAGCCGTGGCTCAGTGTCTGTGGTCCTGCAGGGGAGGAGGGAGACAAGGGTACAAAACATTTTCTAAGTTCAGAGACATGAGTTGGTAGACATAGGGGAAAGGCAAAAAAGAGAATTCTGAGGAGACAGGGTGGTCAGGGAAACTTCTTCAAGGGGAGGGTTTCAAGAGAGCCACAGAAAAGTGCCAGGAAGTGCTGCCAAGCTAGTGCAGGAGGAGGCCATAGGTCCTGCAAGGTGGAGACAGAGCTGGCCAGGTTGGAGGTAAAACTTGGGGAGAGAAGCTGGCAAGAGAGTTCGAGGGTTTTGTAACTGTGTCTGGTAGGCAGGGGCCCTGTGCAGTCTTCCCATCTCCTGTGCTTGGGATGGAGATCTCTGTTGTCTTGACAGGCAGTTTTGCTTGTGTTTGGATCTTGGTTCCACTCAACTCACTGGTTCTCATTTTGGAGAGGGTTGATTGTAACTAGAGGTGGATAAGAATCCTTAAATACTTCTAAAAGATATACAATCCACTGAGTCTTTAGATGTAAATGGCATCATCCTTGCAATCTATTTCTAAATAGTTCAGTAAAAAAATACTTGTTTCTGTAGAGATATGAGGGAAACAGAGATGCAGTAAAATCTAAGGAAAGAGACTCTATGGTAGCTACTGTTATGTCGGGTTGTCTTGTGGTGAACCACTATGTTGCTTAAATTGTTCTGTTCTGATCTGTTTTGTTATGTCCTCTTTTATCTTAATCTTTTTAAAATAAAATAAAATAAAATAAAATAAAATAGTACAATGGTAACATTTGGGAAATCTGAATGAAGGGGGATCCAGGGATTCTTTATGCTGTTCCTGGAAATTTTAGGTCAAAAAAATACTTTTAAATGTAAAAAAAGAAAATTGTCTCACTGGAAAAGGATTAGGTAATTTAAAAACAAGTGTCTCATGGTGTCATTTTCAGCCATTTGGCCCAGCAAACTGGCTTAGTCGAGGGAACCTTAGGGAGCCCCTTCGGTAGGCACCTAGGAATGATTCTAAGGGGCAGTTCTGGTTGATGGACCACCCAGGGTGCTGGTAGGTTCGGGAAAGAGGAATTTTGGCATTTCTATTGTTTCTGATCTTCTGCTTATTCTCAGGTACAATCTCCGTCAAACTGAACAATCCCTTGAAACAGATTGCACTGCTGCCAACTTTAGCCCAGCCCTTTTCTAATTAGCAGATTCAAATTAGGAAGATTTAATTGCAGTTTGGATTAAATCCTGTCCCTCAGCAGTCAAGTCAGTTCAATTTGATTCAGTTCAGCACACATGGAGCACCCAGGGCGCTTACCTAAGGCTGAGCGATTTGCATGCACTCACAGGGCCCAACAAAGCCTGGGGGACTGGACAGACGACACAGGCGCAGGTGCCATTGTCCCAGAGAGACGTCAGGAGGGATCATGCAGGTGTTAGCCCTGTCCCAGCTTTCTTATTGAGCCAACCTCTTCCTGCTTTGTTCTCCTTTCAGCCACTCTGCTGTCTTGGTCCCTGCTACCTGGAGGAACCCAGAGCTTGAGACTCTGAGAGGTTGTCCCACGCCCCAGAGTCCTACCTGGGTCACCTTTCATGTAATGAGCTCTGCTTTGGCAAAGGCCAATCTAGTGTTACCAAATGATTATTGTAATTTTGATCATGCTAATTGCATCCTAACCATCTTTTCCAGAGAGGACTCTTCTGCCAGGAGAAGGGAGTCTAGTAATTGGATTACAAGAAATGCATGGTTGGAGGGCCACTTTCACCCTCTGTGAGGAGGGGTTCTGCAGTAGCTCCTTTCCCTTTATTTTAGACAACCAGTAGAAACCAATGAATATTCCTTAGGCCATCTGAGAATTCTGTATTGGGTCCTTGTCTAGTCCCTGATGTATGGCCTTTCTTTCCCCCTCCCATGGGGATACTTTAGCCCTCCCCAAGCAGCTTTTCCCGCTGGGCATCCTGGAGCAGAAGGCCCTTAGTTCAAAGTCTACTTTACCTGTATTAACGTAGCTGTCCCAGCTTTGTTTCATGTACTGTTTGCATGGTATTTTCTTTCCTTAGTTTACTTTTAACTTATGTCTTTATATTAAAAACTTTTTTCATAGGAAGCACATATTTGGCTTTTGGTTTCCAGTTGACAGTTTGTTAATGGGAGCGTTTAGACCATTAACATTAATGTAATTATATGTTTGGGATTACACCCACCATCTTGCTGTTTGTTTTCTGTTTATTCTGTCTTTTTAAAAATTACTTCTCATCTCTTTCAAGCCTTCTTTTGGATTGGTTGAATATATTTTTACTATTACACATTGGCTTTCTTGTTGTGTCATTTTATCTTGTTATTTTATCCTATTTGTGTGTTTAATCATTCTATCTACAATAGGATTATACTGCTTTGTGTGTAATGTAGAACTCATCACAGTATACTTCCATTATTACCACTTTCCCATTCCATTTGTAGTTTTTTTATACATGTTGTAACACCTCAATATATTGCTGTAATTTTTGTTTTAAATCAAGCTCTTTGAAAACTATTATTTGGAGGTCAAATACGGCCATTCATTGGTTTTGTAAATAATTTTTATTGGAACACAGCTATATCTATTTGTTTATATGTGGTTCATAGCTGTTTCTGAACTACAGTATCCACTGGAATAATTGTGGCAAAGAAATATGGGTCTTTGATGCTAAAATACTCTCTGATCCTCTAGAGAAGAAGGTTGCCAGTTTCTGCTTTAAACAACCAAACCCCAAATCCATGTTTTAAATGGAGAAAAAGAATATTTTACATTTCCACACACTGCCATCCTGGCACTCCTTATATTTCTGCATAGGTCTAAGGTTCTGTTTGGAACGATTTTCTTTCCTTTTGACTGGAGAACTTCCTCTAATGCTGTTTCTTGTAGTGCTGGTCTGTTGGCAGCACCTTCTCTCCCCTTTTGTTTACCTCAAAATGTCTTATTTCACCTTTATTTTGAAAGGTGTTTTTTGCTGGCTGACAAGTTTTTGCTGTAGTTGTTCTTTTGATGAAATGTCTTCCATTGTCTTCTGGCTTGCTTTGTTTCTGGGGAAATGCATGATAATTCTTATGTAGGTTCTTTGGTATTTAATGAGTCTATTTTTCTTGGATTGGTTTTAAAATTCTATCTTTATTAATGTTTTTCAAACATTTGATTATTATATGTCACAAGGAAATTTTCTTTGTGTTATTCTGCTTGAAGTTGGTTAAATTTTTTAAATCTATGGGTTTATAGTTTTCACCAAATTTCAGAAAAATTTTCAAGCACTTTTTCTCCTAAAATATTTTTTCTGTCCTTTACCTTCCATCCTCTCTCTTGGAATCTTTTCTGTCTCTTCAGTACTAGGGATTGAACCTGGGGACTTAATGCTGAGTTACATCTCCAGTCTTTTAAAATTTTGAAACAGGGTCTTGCTAAGATGCTGAGGCTGGCCTTGAACATGCAATCCTCTTGCCTCAGCCTCCTGGAGTGCTGGAGTTAAGGTGTGCTGCCACACCCAGCTTCCTCTTGAGTCTTTACTTACTTATATAGGTGACCATTTTATATTGTCATTGAGACTGTTAATTTTTTAGTTTTTATGCCTGCATGCTTTATTTAGTTTTTCTATTGGTATGTGTTTCAATGACTGATTTTTTTTCTCCTATAGTGTCTAACCTGCTATTAATCTGACCCAGTGAAATTTCATTTCAGACATTGCAATTTTTATCTCTAGAATTTTCATTTAGGTCATTTTATAAATATCTTTCTTTTTTCTCCTGCCCATGTTTATATTTTTATCTACATGTTTGAAATGACTACAATAGGTACTTTAGCACCTTTATTTTTTAATTCTATCATCTTTGTCATTTTTGCATCTTAAAAGTCTATTGTCTGATTGTGATCTGATTATGGGCATATTATCCTTTTTTAAAAAGCACTTCCAGTGTTTTTTTATTAAATGATGAACATCATGAATTATACATTGTTGAGTAAGTTTATTTTACTCAGAGACTGTTGAACTTTGTTCTGCTAGGCGGCTCTTGCAGTTCAGCTTGATTCTCTGGAGACTTGTTTTTAAGTCTTATTACTGCAGGTCTAGAATATCCCCAGATTATAGAATACTCTAGACCTACTCTAATAAAGCTTACAAGCAAGCTTCAAAAGGCTCTCTGGGTCTCTACTGAATTTTCTGAATGATCATCAAGAACGTTCTGTGCTGACTTGTAATTTGAATGCATCCTAACCGTATGTAACTTATGACAAACATTCAGTATTCCTTTGGTGCTTTTCGCTCAACCTTGCAAGATTTCATCCCAAGCATACATCACCTTAGCACTCAGCAAAGATGCCAGGGGACCCAAATGCAGATTTCTGGAACTCTCTTTTGATGTACCTTCCTCACCTCCAAAATACTGTATTCTGGATGCACTATCCTGGGAAAAGCCAGGAAAGTTGTAGGACTCACCTTGTTTGTTTTCCTTCCCCCAGGGATCTCAGCTCTGCATTACTCAGTGTCTGAAAACAGATTTCATGTATTCTGTGCAGTTTTCTAGTAGTTTACTGTAGGAGGGCAAATCTGATTCCTGCTACCCTAACACATGGCTGGGAGCAGAAATCCCTTTATGGCCCTCTAAAAGGATCATTCAATTCCAATTCATTTTAAAAAATGAATACCACTAGAGAAAGTAGAGTTTGCTTTTATTTGGATTTTGCTGTTACACTGGTGGCGTCACTTAAAATATTATGAATTTTTTATATCTCCTGCACATTGGCTCTTAGATCAACGTTCCAGCATCTTGGGGTTCAACTCTTACTGCTTAGCAAACGTACTTCAGAGGTGGCATTGTGTCTTTACACTAGAAAGCACCTTGTGTCTGGTTGTCTCTCCTTTTGTGATGTTAGTAACAATTGATGATTTTTGCCTAGATCCTTTATTTCTTCAGGGAATGCAAAATGATAACAAATAATTTAATCTTTCCCTGTTCAGTTATTAGCTGGAAGACATTTATGGAGAGAAATTTTCCCTCCTCAAGTATTTGGTTACATCTAATAAGGAAATGGCAGGATAAATATTTGGGGTTTTTTCTTTTTCTTTTTTTCACTAGTATTCCACGTGAAGAACTGATTCCCTAGTATCCTTCAGAGAGGACCAATTTTCTTTAGCATCAGTTAACTCTGATCAGTTAAACCTATTTCCTGTGTTTCAGTCTCAATTGCAGTTATACTTACTTTTTAAGCAATATTTTAAAAAGTCTAACTTTATTAAAATGAAAACTCATAAGCATAATTCTCTATTTGAATATTAAAACATTTCAGGAATTTTCTAAGGTCAAATTTATTTTTAACATGTTTATCAGGACATATTTACTATACCTATGAATGCATTCATTGTGGGGAGTTGGTGCATATATATATATATATATACATATATATATACACATATATATAGTTATAGTATATATATATATAGTACCCAAATCCTTTTTGTTTTCCTTTCCCCTCCCTTGCCTTTTCCTCTCTCCATCTCTAGATCCCTTTTCTTTTGCAGAAGGTCTATCTTCCCTATTTCCTATCACCTACTTTTTATTTTGCTCCTTAAATTATTTGTAGTTTAGGTTTTTCATATATGAGATACCACGTGATATTTAAGTTTCTGTGTCTGGTTTATTTCACTTAGTGTTACGATCTAAGGTGCGTCTATTTTCCCACGGATGACTCACTTTTGTCCTTCTTTGTGGATGAGTGAAGTTATGCTTATTGCCACGAGATTATCCTCCCTTCCCGGGGGAGCTCTTTCGGATGGCCCTGAGCACACGGCCCTTTCCCCAGTGTACTTTGACAGCTGTGTTGCTTTCAGTTATGACAAGATGCTTTACTCTGTTGTGTGCATTTTTTCTGCAAGTCTGAAATAAACCTTTTTTCAAAATTAGCCATTGATTTCTCTTCACTGTAATTAATTAATTTATTAGATTCAAATGAAATGTGTTTCCCTGTACTTTTAGAAGTACGTGGCAGGGGGAGGGCGAGGATGCAGCTAGGACGGTTTTCTAGCCTGTGAAAAGAGTGTAGAGGTCTGTCTCCTTTTTCTCAAAGTGCTCCTTCCTCTCCTTTCATCTGGATCTTGTCCTTCCTTAACTGTGCGTCCCTAATCTGCTCTGTTTCATACTTCTTGCAGTGTGTCTCTCAGTGAAGGGCTTTGCCCTGGGAGGGACATTTGAGCTCCAGCACACTCAGGCCTTGTAGAGCGCTTTGCTCTGAGGTCTCAGTTTCTTCTCTTTACAGAGAAGGGTAGGGCTGGATGATGGAAGGTCCCTAGCAGCCCTCATACTGTGTGGCTCTGATGTCTAAAATACCTTCTGGAACGGATAGTGCATCTGCCCCCTGTGGTTACTGAGGTTGTGTCCCTGCAGGGATCTCAGTGTGGACGCTGGCTTGAGTCCTGCTCAATTCCAGGTGCGGCCCATCCCTCAGCACTATCAGCATTACCTAGCAACTCCTCGAATGCACCACTTTCCCAGGAACTCCTCCTCTACCCAGATGGTGAGTAAAAGGCTCTGCCAGAAAGAGAATTCCTCGTCGGGTGCAGTGGTGAGCTGAGGTCCCTGGCTCCTCTGTGTCTCGGTCCCATTGTGTCTAACCTGCTCTGAGTCCTGGCTCCCTGAGCACACCCACCACTGCTCTGGACTGAGTGGGGGTGAAACGAAAGCTGCTGGGCTAGAAGCTGGTGCTAGGAAGGAATAGAAGTAGATAGGACAGTGACACAATGCTGGGGTCTTTGGGGGAAATGCATGAGCTGAGATCAGGCAGAATAGACCCTGTCCCTCCTACAACGTCATAATTTCCTGCGACCATGTATTCACAGGCTTTGGTTTTACTTATCTGTGAATTGGGGATGTAGAGGTCTGCCCAGCACATCTGGTGTAAGAGTCAAAAGAGATCACAGAAGCACAGTTCTGAGCACTTCACATGTTTTATTTCATTCTTCAAATAACCCCACACAATAGGGTTTTATGCCTGTTTTACAGATTGGCAATCTGAGGCCTAGCGAGGTTATGTAACTGGTCCTGGGATGCACAGTAAGGAGTTGAAATGGGAGCTGGTCCCTCTGACTCCTAGTCAGGATGAAGAAGAGGTGAACGAGTCAGGGTCAAGCAAATGTAGTACCAATCTGTATCTAAAATATTGATGTTTTTCTCAGGATGGACTTTTTTGCACTCATTTTGACTTTAAAAATATTGCACATTATTATATGCTTTGACTATTGATTCTTTTGTTTTTTACTTTGGTCCTGGCCTGCCCTGAACCAGACAATGCACTCTGCTGCTTACCTGCCTAGTTTGAGTTCTGGTTATGTCACTTGATTGTATAATTTGAGCTAATTACTTAACCTACCTGTGCCCCATCAGCCTGAGGGGATTGTAATTGCATGCACAATGTAGATCAAGTGAGGTGACTGGATTGGTTTATCATGTGAAATGCTTATGGCAGTGCCTATTATGAAGTGGATACCCAGTCAGATTAATTGTTATTTAACTGATTTTAACAATGCTTCTTGGGCTGGTCCACACACAAGTTTGGTTCTTGATGAGAAAAAAGGGACCTAAGAGAAGGAGGAGACATCTCTCCTGCCTGCCAGTAATCATGGCAAGAGAAGCTGCATGTGGGCCTCATAGATAAGCCTGGGATCCTTGTTTATTCAAACTTTTCTCTTCCCAACAGGTTGTCCATGAAATCCGAAATTATCCTTACCCTCAGCTTCACTTCCTTGCTCTCCAAGGACTGAATCCCAGCAGACATACTTCTGCTGTGCGGGAGAGCTATGAGGTATGTTACTCTGTCTGACACCAGTTGGATTGGTGGAAATGACATTGTCTTATACCATCCCTCTGCTAGTGGGTAGGTGAAATCCCATGGCAGAGAGAGAGAGAGAGAGAGAGAGAGAGAGAGAGAGAGAGAGAGAGAGAAAGGAGGAGGAGGAGAAGGGGAGAGGAGGACGAGGAAGAAGATGGGGAGGAAAAGGAGGAAGAAGAAGAGGAAGAGGAAAAAGGAGAGGAGGAGGAAGAGAAAGTGGAAAAGGAAGAGGAGACAGGAGATGGTACAGGTTCTTAGCATCAGACAGGTCCTTCCTGTTGGCTATGTGAATGCTTCCTGCTACCATCTTGGGTGCCTTCATCTTTACCATGTGTGTACATGTGCATTTAAATATGCTGACTACACAAGTCCCTGTTTTCCTCTTTGCAGGAACTGCTGCAGCTCGAGGACAGGCTGGGAAATGTGACTCGGGGAGCTGTGCAGAACACCATTGAGAGGTTCACTTTCCCCCACAAATACAAGAAGGTGAGGCTTCCAGCAGCCAGCCTACAGGGTCAAGGAATGGAAGGGAACTGTGTTACTTTGTGTACTTGACGAGTTCTGGCCTGGTTGTGTATAGGAGCACAGCTCAAAATCCAGAAACCTCTGCTCTGGTTAAATACTCAGATGCTGTGAATCTTCTAACTTGTGCAGGTGGTGGTCAGAGGGAAGATGAAGACTTCTCATCAGCAAAGGTGGAGGGCCGTGTGTGTGTGTGTGTGTGTGTGTGTGTGTGTGTATGCACACACATATATCTCAGTGAGGTGGGCAAAAGGTTCCTGGATGGAAAGCTAAGATTTGCTTTAGAAAACAATTCCAATGTCACTGTCACCTATGGAAGGGTTCTGAGAGGAACCCTTCTAAATCTGACTATTAAAAGTGAGTATCCCGACTGAGGAGCTTTTAAAGCCACAGAATCAGTAGAAGCAGAATTAGCAGATTATTGCCCAAAAGTCTAGAATAAGATTAAAGACCAGGAATTTGAGATCCTAAAACATTTAAAAATTTTAAAAAGGAATGAAAAATTTAGAAACAACCAAGATGTCCTTCAATAGATTGATGGGTATATTCATACAATATTATTTGAACTGTGGTACATTCATACAATATTATTTCACAATAAAATGAAATTAGTTATTAAGCCACAAAAAGATGTGAAGGAGCATTAAGTGCACATTACTAAGGGAATAAGTAACTCTCTGAAAGCTGACTCTTGTATGAATTCAAGAATACAACATTCTGGAAAAGGCAAAACTCCTGAGATAATAAAAATCTCAGTGATTGCCAGCTGCAAGGGAGTGAGCAATGAATTGATGAAGCATAGAGGATTTTTATGGCAATACAACTCTTTTGTATGATATTGTGATGGTGGACACCTGATGTTATATGATTGTCAAAACCAATGGAATGCCATGATACATAGAGCAAAACTTCATGAAAATTAAGGGACTCAGCTAATAAGAATCCACCAATATTTATGACCAGTTGTAGTATGAGTATCACAGGCATGAGATGTTAATTTAGTGAAATCATGATGGGACAATATATGACAGCCTATTTTAATTTTGGCTCAATTTTAATTTTAACTAGAATTGCTACAAAAATAAAGTCTATTGTAAAGACAAATGAGCTATTAATTGTAAAAATTCTCTCTTCCAGAAGAAATTAAAAATATGGTAGATATTGAGAAACTTGGAGTAGAACATGCTTATGGTGGTCCAGTCAGAGATTGTCATCACTGGCTCATAAGCTCAAGAAAGGAGTGGTTGGAAACACCTGGTGTTGAGAGCAGATCACCAGCTTTAAATTTTAGTATTTATGGCTGCATGACTTTGGACAATATGCTTGACTTTTCTGACCCACTTCTTTCTGTTTTAAAAATTCTTTATTTGTAGTATTGTGGATTGAACCCAAGGTCTTTACACTGAGCAACATCCCCAGCCCTTATTTTGGTTTTTAGCTTTGTGCCAGGGGCTTTGTAGGTTGCCCAGACTGGATTTGAGCTTGCCCTCTGCCTGCCTCAACTTCCTGTATGCTGGGATCACAGTTGTGTACCACTCTGCCTGCTTTCTTTCTTTCTTTCTTTCTTTCTTTCTTTCTTTCTTTCTTCTTTTTTCTTTCTTTTTCTTTCTTTCTCTATTTTCTTCTTTCTTTCCTTCTTCTTTCAACATGAAATGGAATGGTAGCATTAGTGGCTACAGTATGATTCACTGAAATGCTGTGTATAAATATCCCAGTGCAGTGCCTGTTCCCTACTGGGTGTTTGGGAATGGCAGGCTGCTATTACATGGGAATGAGGTACACTCCTTCCTAGGCTTGAAGACCATGAATCTCATTACACCCATGTCCTCACACAGGCATTGAGTTTATTCATGAATAATTTCAACCACATTTATTGAGTGCCTACTACATGTCAGACTCTGGATTACATACTAGTAGGGAAGAAGTAGCAGTACTTCCATAGCTAAGGGTATCATCTATGTGGGGAAAGTGGTCCTTCTCTGAAGAGGCTTTAAGGTATTGGATAAGAATATGGAAGGAAATGAGTGGATGTTCAGGGATCCAGAGCAGTTTATGTGTCCTTTACTGCAGATGTTCATGTCTAGAAGGGCCACACACCACACCTACCATCTTTTCAATAGGTCACAAGAAAATAGAGAAAAGAAGCAACACAGAATGAAAAGAGAAAATGGATAAATTGGTAAGATAAAGGGCTCAGGTAAAAATTAGTATCAAAGAAGAACCAAGGAAAGAAAAATGTTGTAAAAGAGAAATAAGAATTAAAAATGGGGACTGAAAAAGTTTAGGACCCAAATAAAATGTCAAAAAGTTTTTAAAAAAATTTTTTGAGACAGGGCCTTGCTGCATAGTTCAAGCTGGTCATGATCTCACTATGTAGCCCAGGCTGGCCTCAGTCTTGTGACAATCCTCCTGGCTCAGCCTCCTGAGTGCTGGGATTTATAGGTGTGCCACCAAAATAGTTTATAGCAATATGACACAAGTTACAGGAGTTAATGCTGTGTGCAGTAAATTTGCCTTTAATCTGCCTTTAATCATAAGTAAATGAATATTAACTGAGTTAATGAATGAATGAATGCAAACACAAATGAATTAGTGAAGCCTGCTGGACCAGAAAGTGGATCAAGAGACCCAGAAGCAAGGTTTGGCTTGGACAGGGTCTGAGGAGTGAAAGAGAAACAGAGAGGAGAAACTGTTTGTACATGCGACAGAGGTTTGCAAATTATCAGTTAATTTCTTTCCAAACTTTGGGCTTCTTGACAGTGTCTGGGTCAGGAGACAAAAGTCTGTTTGGCCTCTTCTTCATTTGGCAGTAACCCTCTCTCCCTCTCTCCTACAGCATGGGGGAGGGTTGGGAATAGAGTTTAAAAAGACACTGATCCTCAGGAGAAGAGGAAGTGCAGGGTGAGAGGAGGCTGCGGTGAAAGCCAGTGGCCACCAGGAGAGTCTGCCCCAGATGATGAGTGCTCATCCCTTTGCTTCTCGTAGCGAAGACCCCAGGATGGCAAGGGCAAGAAGGACGAAGGGGAAGAGTCTGACACTGATGAGAAATGCACGATTTGTTTGTCTATGCTGGAAGATGGAGAAGATGTGAGGTAGGAGGACACCTCTTTGAGTCTGTCTCCCTTCTCTCACAGTCATTCAGTGCCCAGTTACCACACTGCATGCCCAGGGGTGAGGATGCTTGCGGGTGCGTGCTTATGAGTGTGCCAAATGTGCCATAGTTTGCTTTGTAGTTGCACTGTGAAGGTGGGGCATGGAATGTTGTAGATGTGGTACCCACGGTTATGGACTCATTGAAGTTAAGTGAAAGAAGACAGCATGATGTTTGGCCTGGTGGCTCTAAGACAGTCATGGCTTTGTTTCTGGCTGACTTGAAAAGGCCTCACAGAGGAGAAAGAGGGTCTATGAGGCTCACTTCCGGTCATGGCTTTCTGCCTCAACCATGACCTCACAACTACACCTCAGGGATGCAGAGTGTCCCCGGTCCGTGCAGTGTCCATTACTTCTGTTGCAGCACCAGCTCCTGCCTTTGCTGCCTGACTCTTTCTCTTTTCCAGACGCCTGCCCTGTATGCATCTCTTCCACCAACTGTGTGTGGACCAGTGGCTTGCCATGAGCAAGAAATGCCCCATCTGCCGAGTGGACATTGAGACACAGCTGGGAGCCGATAGCTGAAGGAGGAGTTAGCCAGTGAACACCCCATTTCCTTCACCAGGTCCCCCCACGGCCATAGCCCTTGCAGCCAAACTTTGCCTTCTGAGCCATTGGACGTAGAGGAGAAGCCTGCAAGCACATTTTGTGGAAAGAGGAGTCAGTGGTATCAGTGTCTGAGGGAGGAGCGGGTGGGGGAGGACCCACCCATCCAGATGGCGACTGCCCCATCCGCCTTGCTCGCAGGAGGGAGGGAGCTGGCCGTGCCTGTGCCCTGAGCGGGGGTGGGAAGGGGGGACCCACGCCGCTGAGAACTAGATATGATCCCGAGGGCACTAGCGGATAGACGGCCCCTCAATCCTGACCTTTGAAGGATTGTATATATACCTCTGGACCACGTAGAAACCATGTAGGGGTCTCTAGCTATTTCTGTGGATGGCAGCCAGAGCATGTTAGCTTAAGAAAACGTCGTGTGTGGTGCTCTAGTCATCTTGTGGTGGACATGTCGCTATTACTGAACTTGCACCAAATATTTCTCATTGAGTTTCTTGTTTTGGTGCCTGACTGAACCAACCAACGACAGCCCCAGTTTTCCCGTCTTTATGAAAGAAAAGGAAAAAGGAATCAAAGGTGAAAAAAAAAAAAAAAAGCCAAATCCTGTTTACGGTGAAAAAGGATGACTTCTTTTTCACCCAGGTTGGAAGTGGGGTGTTGGGGGGGTGTTCTTGTTTTGTTGTCATTTTTGTTTTTCCTTGCTTTTGTTTTTCTCATGTTTACAGTGCACGGAGTATGGAAGGCGCCTCTCAGGAGGGAGGACTGGGAGAGAGCAGATGGGGTCAGAGTGGGGCTTCTGAGGGGTTCAGGTGAGGGGGAGAATGTATTGCCAGAGCAGTGAGCGAGTTCGTCTGTAAGTCAGGCTTCACGTCCTTGGCCTCATCGCTATGCCTCTGGTTCCACACGGAACTGGGGAGCACTCGGCCTTCAGCTCTAGCTGCTGCTGTGTTCCTGGAAGCCAGGCGGCCTCTGCTTACTCCAGCTCCTTTCTTACGGCTGGCTCTTGTCCTAAAATAAAGAGGCAATGTAGCCGCTGCCTCCCTATGCAAAAAATTAGCCAGATGATGCAGATCAGACAGCATAGGTGGCCACTTGACCTTGGCCAGAGTGCCCGCAGCCAGCACTCAGGGCTAAAGTCCACCTCCACAGACCTTGAGGAGGACCTTGAGCCTCTTCTGGGCGCTTCGAGTCCAGTCAGTTCCTCAGAGATGGTCCTGGCTCCGAGACCATGATAGCTGATCCTCTCCCCTCCCCTGCCTTCCTCCCCTCCCCCTCCCCTCCCTTGTCTTGTCCTCTCCTTTCTCTTTCACCTGTACTGAAGTTTGATCCCAGGACCCCCTAACACTGAGCTATCCCCCCTGCCCAGCCCCACATCCCTGGCCTCTGATTCCTTCTCTGACTCTTTGATAACTTTGGGCAATTCCCTTTCTTCCTCTGTGTCTGTTTCCTTCTCCTTCCTGTGGGGAGACACAGTGCATCTCCCTTTTCACTCCCTCGGCCTCCCCTAGATGTGGTGAGCTGAGCTGTCTCTGTCTAGCACATTCTGTGCTCTTTATTCTCTCCGGAAGCCTCTTGGCTTTTAGGGATGTTATGCTTTGTGAGATAGATCTGGACATTTCATATGCATCATATAATGTATCTTTCTGGACCACCCTACAATTTTTTGATCCCAAAGGGAGCAGAGGACAGAAGACTGAAGACAGCAAAATCCACCAAATGCCAATCTAAACCCAATCTCTTCCTCTAGCTGGAATTTTACCACCTCCCCTTTCTGCTTGCCCTTCTCTTTCCCCCTTATTTGCACTGCTCTCAAAGTCTCCCCTTCCCTTAGCCCCTAGCTAGTCTCAATGCTCTCATATCTATAGGGCTGGGGACAGGACCCTTATCACATAAATGAACAAGTCCCATGCACATAAGGAAATCTGAGTCTGTATTGCTATTGCCAGGACCAGTGGGAGAACTTGACAATGAGGCCAACTTTGGCTTGACTTGAAGCCTGTTACAGCTAGCCCTATCTTGGAGGATGGCTGCTCTGGACACCTGTGGACAGAGAGGGGGACACAGTTGCCAGTGGGGGGTTACTCCATATCCAGATGAAGGTGTCTCCCAGTGCCAGTCTTCTAGTGTCATATAAAATCTTTGTTGAGTGCCCGCCAATGCAGGTGTTGGGAAAGAAAGAGCTAAAAAGACAGTGGAGGATGAGACAGCACACAACCAATAGTGCAAAAAGGACAGGTAGTTTAACTTACAGTGTTAACAATGGTGAGCATTTCACCCTACAATTTGGGGACTGTACTGTGCCAATAAGGTCTGCAGGGCAAAAGCTGGGAAAAAACATCTGAGGATGGAAAGGAAACTGCTTACTGATAGCCACAGGAAGTTGGGAATTCTCTCCCCTCTTCTCCAATGGCTTAGTCAAAACTAGGAATTTATCAGAAGATTTAGCCTGCAGGTAGTTAGGATGGTTTAGGCAGGTCACTCTTCTCTCAGATTGGCCTTCTGTTCCTCATCCTGAGGCTGTCCTGAAACGCTAGCACAAGAGGGGAGTCAGTGAGGAGCCAGGATACAAGGAGAACTGATGTCCTGTGTTTTAGCCCTGGCTCTTCACTGACAAACCGAGTGATGCTAAAACCACCTCCTCTAACCAACATGGGCTTCGGTTTCCCCAGCTACGACACAAAGAGGCCGGGTTGGATGCTCACCCCCAGCACTTACATTTTGTGATCCTCCCTTGCATCCACACATCTTTCAAGTCGTAGAGCTGTGTGCCAATCAGGCTGTCAAAAAGGACTTCTGTGGGCATGAACATGTTTCAGAGGCTGAGGGCACATGTGCTGAGTGAGAGTGGGACCTGGTCCCCTCCTCCTTCCCATTCTCTGCAGGCTCCCTGAGTGCCCCAGGCTAGAATTAGGGACTGGGCTGGGGAGGGGGTAATTCCTGAAGTCCCCTCCCCTCCCCATCTCTCTGGGGTCCTTGTTCCCTGCGGGTAGGGATGAGAGGGCTTGGCACTCAGAACCCTCCCAGCTCCCTTTTCCTTAGCAGGGCAGCTGATCGGGTGAGAAGAGTGGAGCAGGGTGTGGACTTCTGCTTCCTCACAGTCCCCCGATTGGTCAGGGAGCCAAGGAGAGTGGCGAAGAGGCAGGGTCCGGCCTCTGCATCTCATATTCACCACCTCCAGGACGGAAACATCTGGAGTCCTCCTGCTCAACTCAAGGGACTCAGACTCTTTCCTGACTGAGACGCATGAGTGCCTTCTGGGGAGACAGCAGCCCCAGGGTTCAAGTTGGGCCTCCTTACTGCAGCCACAACCACAGCAGGTCTGCCGAAGATGCCAGTCAATCAACCCAATGCCACAAGCCGGGCTGGGCACAGGCAGAGGCGGGCAGGGGCCGCGGGCTCCTCTACCTGGCGGATGCTGGCCACCTGCTACCCTTGCTCAGCACCTGTGGCAGGACTCAAGCTCCTCTTCTGCAAAGGTTCCCAGCCTCCGTGCAAGTATTCTTAACTCTTTACGCCTAACAAACAAGCACAGTTTTTTCAATGGTGAAGAAAAGCACCAGACTTTTTTTTGTTCCTGAAGAAAATTTCCCAAACCCCCTGCCTGCCGGCGGGACGAACACTCCCCACGTGGGGCTGTAGCAACGTCTGTCAGGTTCCCTGTGTTTCATCTCCTGCGCGCGCGTAGAGCAAATGCTAGAGCGATTTCAGCTGATAGAAAAACAAAAATGAAAAAAAAAAAACCACAAAAAACAAAAAACATGGCACGTTGCTAGTTTACAGGGTTTTGTGAGTTTAAATGCCTTATATTTAACAATCATAATTTATGACTAACTTGTAGATATTGTGGGTTCTTATTTAATTATTTTTATAGTTGTTTTGCATTTTTAATTATAATTTATTTATTTAGAAAGGATACTAATTTTTTTTATTACTCCTATTACCTCATTTTGGCGTTGTTTCTGGGAGTGGAATGCTTTGCATGCATTGGTACGATGACAAACAACTATGAATACAAAAAAAATTTTAAATAAAATTCCGCGAACTTTATTTCGTCCAAACTATCAGGGTGTGTGATTGCAAGCTGTCCTACTGTGGTGCTGGCCTCTTTGGATACATTCCATACGAAATGCAAACCTTTGATTCTGTATGCTGTGATCTAGTGAAAAACTCCAATATAGTGACTGTATTTAGCACATATATAAATATAATTTGCACTCGTCAGCAGACTGGGGTAATCCTTTCACTTGCTACCCCTGGCGCCCTCCTCCCAACCCTATGCACCCACTAACCCGCTTTTCCTTCTTTCCTTATTCTTCCCACCACCTCAGCCCACTCAGCCTCCCTACCTAGAGGAAGGCTCAGGGCACTAGAGCTCTCTGTCTCCACCCAGGGCCCAACTCTTAATGGTTCCAGGATTGGAGCCCTTCAGACACTGCCCGCAGGAGCATCTGCAAGCCACAAAGCCTGCTTCATTAGAATGAGCCCTGGGTAGGGGCTGGGGGCACCACTGCACACTTCCCTGTGACTGTTAGTCCTTGGTCTCTGTCAGTCTTTTTTGCTGGGAGAGAGAGGAGAAAGGAGTTCTCCAGGGTCCCTCAGATTCAGGTAGAGTATGACACAGGTCTGGGGAAACTATCTTGCTGGATCTGTCTCACTCTCTCAGAAGAGACAAAGAAGAGAAAGATGGAAGAAGAGAAAAAGAAAAGAATAGGGTGGGGGAGTGGGTTGAGGATTTTATCTTGAGGGTTGCTCAAAGCAGACATCCACAAGGGTTTTTGTCCTTTTATAGGCAGCATCCTGCAGGTGACAAGGAGGTCTGTTAGGAGGACACATGCCTGGATGTGAGCCATGATTTTTCACAGGGCTTGGGTGGTCATGCAGGGGGCCTTGCCTTGTTAGGTATGGAATGGGGTGGAACTGGCGCTCACATCCTGTCATCTCCAGGAGACTTTGTGGTTGGAACATTACCCACTGACAACAGGTTGGGACACAGAGTTTGCCTAATGGTCTCTGTTCTCTCCCTTGCTCTAGGGACTGTTGTCAGGAGAGGTTGCTAGAGAGGGCAGCGGGCTTCAGTCTCACTACCCCATAGAGGAGTGGGAAGGAGACTTGGAAAGCAGTGGCATCAAAGGCTGGCACAGGGCTTAGTCCAGGTGCTTTTGAACCAAAAGAGAAGGTTCAGGCTCCCAAGAGGAGCCTTCCAATGGGCTTGACCCGTGTTGCCTCCCTCCTCTCGTTCCTCTCTTCCTTCCGTTCTTGTGCAGCTCATCCTTCCTTCTTGGCTTTGGACATCACTGCCTTTGCTTGGTGGGGAGCTCCACCCGCCAAACAAGTCCTCATGGGGATGGCCGGTGCTGGTGTGGGGGAGTGGAGACCTGGAGTCATTGCATGGCTTGCGTGGCTTGCCGAGTGGCTGGACTGAACATGGTTCCTAACCCCATCTCTGCTCCAGCCTGATGATGGATGGGGCGCTTCTTGGGGCTTCCTACCTACTGCTGCCTGGCCTCCCCTTCTGCCTCCACCCTGGAGCCTTGCTTTCCTTGGAATCACCCACCATGCTGGTGGGAGCACAACCCCCACACTGCCAGGCCTGGCAGACACTGCCGCAGGGCTCCTGGATGGGCACGTCTTACGCTGCTCTGCTCCACTCTTGAGCCTGCTCTCCCACTGTCCCCTTCCAGCCCCACCCCTGGCCATGGATGTGGTGCTCAGCTATGGAGCATGCTGCACCAGGCCCTTGAAGGGGTAATTTGGTTGCCCCTGGTAAGTGAAAGGATTATCCTCAGTGTTGATTGTCCTTTTTTGTAACCCTCCTGCTGTTCTGTTCTGTTGTGCTGTGCAACATTTTGCTACATAGACTATTTTATAGCAGAAAGCTAGAAGAATATTTATTATGAATATTAAAGCAATAGTGCATCAATGAAAAAGCGGAGACGTTAGGAATTGTGTAAATGCTTAGATTCACTTTTGGTGGATTTTTTGTACTTTATTTATAACTAATAAAATGAACTGCATTGCTAACTACACCTCACTGGTGTTGGGTGCTTATTTCTTTGCATACGCAGGGTGTGTCTGGGGAACAAACTTTTGTCTTTGCCCAAAATTTGAAGTAACTTCATTTACACATATCCCACCAACTTGCCAGGTTCTTTTTCATCATTTCCTGTCTTTTCTCGCTTCTTCTCATCTCCGCTACCCCTCTGTCTTGTACTCCTCCTTCTTGTCTCTTGCTTATTTCTGCTGTAGTTTGGGTGTGGAATGGCCCCCAGGAGCCTGTGTGTGGAAAGCTGGTGGGAGGTGGTGGAAACTTTCATTAAGAGGTGGAGCCTAGTAGCCGGAAATGAGGTCATCAAGGGTGTTCCTGGGAAGGGGACATTGGGACTCTAGCTCCTTCTCCTCTCTCTTTGCCCCCTCCTGCTGCCATTAGGTGAACAACTTATTCCTCTGTGTGTTCCCACCATAGTGGGACCATGCCTTGCCATGGACCCCAGAGAAACATGCTACCCAGCCATGGACTGAAACCTCCGTACTGTGAGTCAAAATAAATCTTTCCTCTTTGTAAGGTAATTATCTTAGATATTTTGCCACAGTGACAGAAAGCTGACCAACACAATTTCTTTCATCTCTGTCTCTCAGAGAGTTGGCCTTCTGTCTGTGGATGAATTATTTAATTGACCTGTTTTCTAAACTTTAGATATGAATCTTCAAGGAGATTTCTGAACAACTTTCAAGTGTAATTTATTATGTTTGCCTTGGAGGGCTTCTTGTTTTCTCTGTAGGCGAGAAGGCACTGGATTTCAACCATTGGTATTGATTTTATATCTTTTGTAGAAACTAAGTTCACATATTCTGTATGTATGTTCTATTCTCAGAAATGTTGGGCCCAGTAAACTAAAAAATGACTTTCACACGCTGTCAAAAGAACCTATATCAACAAACTTTTTAAAAATAAGCAATAGATATTATGTTCTAGAGCAGTTTCAGTAAATGGAAAATCAGCATAAAGTATAGAGAATTCTAATTATCTATCATCACCTTATCCTACTAATATTTTGCATTCATTGCATTTGTTACAATTGATAAGCCAATATTGATACATTATTATTATAGTCCATAATGTAAATTATGTTAACCAGCCACCTTAAATTCCTAATTTGTATCACAGTGACATTTTCACCAGAAAAGGCCCAAGGAGGGTCCCCAAAGTGGAGATGGAAAACTTGACTCACTTGACCCATGGGGTAGGTTGTAGGTTTGCTGACTTCTGTCACAGAAAAACAAAACAAAACCCTCAAGACTGGATGAGGTGGCACACGCTAGTAATTTCAGCATTTGGGGGCTGAGGCAGAAGGACCACTGTGAGTTTGAGGCCAACCTGCGCTACAAAGTGAGTTCAAGTCCAGGCTGAACCTGTATAGCAAGAACCTGTCTCAAAAAGACAAAAGAAAACAAAAATTCAAGATTGAGTTAATAGAGGTATAAAGAGGTTTCAGAAGCAATATGTTGCTCGTTTAATGGTGAGCTCTCATAAGGTTGGAAGGCTGGCAATTTACAGGTAAGTAACTCCGGCCCAGCCCTATTGTATCTTTAAGAGGCTTGCACATTCTCCTCAGTGGTTTTCCTAGAAGTCAAAAGGACTTTGTAACCTTGAGTAATGTTTGTGTCCTGAAGCAGTAGCTTTTCTTAAAAGGACACTTTCAAAGATTTTCCTTGTTTCTTCCTAGATTCCTTTTACCCAGCCTAGAGATGAACCCAGTGCTGTCTGTGGGTTTCCAAGCCTTTCTACCTGTGCTTCTTTGATCCAGACTTCTTGGTCCTGGTCCTGTCATCACCAGCACCGACACAGTAGGCAAACACAGTCAAGCTCTACAATTGGCAGGTCTCTGCCCTGCCTCCCTTCAGTCTCTCTTGGTCCCTTCACTCCATACCCAGTACAATGAAGGTGGCCCTGGGAGGCAGGGCCTGGGCCACTTTGGCAAGGGAGTAGCTTCTTTCCTTGAAGTTCATGTTTGCTTAGCACAGGAGGAAACCTACTCAGCCTTCCTAGTCTCGCACCTCCCCACCTTCCCATGCTGCCAGCACAGAGGAGAGATTTCTTAGAAAACATTCTGGCTCATTCTCTGCCTAGGCCTTGTCACCCAGGTCACTTAATGAGCCCTCCAACTTCGAGGGAAAGGAGCCTGTCCTTATCTTGCCCTAGGCATCTTGAGCGCCTCCAGGCCTCACTTTTCTCCCTATAGCACCCCACTTGCAGCCCTCCTTGCTTTCTCTCTCTGCCCCTCCCTAGTGCTCCAGGCCCTGGAAGGCCCTGCCCACTCCCGCATTTTCCTGAACTACCCTCTGGGAGCCAGGGTTGCTTGCTCTATTCCACAGCCATCAGTGGGCAAATAGCACGTCTTCACCCAATACTAAAGACCTTCTCCCTGTCACCCACTCCTGCAGCCTGCCAGAGCAGTGTTCTCTCCTGTTTGACACCATATGTCAGCTGGCATCTTACTTTTCTTTTGATGTCATTTTACCCTTTCTGTGCACTTCCCGTGCCACCTGTGGGCTGTGTGACTTAGGCCAAGTTACTTAAACTTTCAGTTCTTCAGTTTCTTTATGAAATAAGAATAATGAATAGTATCTGCCTCAATGGATTATACAATGATTTCATATGTAAACATTTAACTTGTAGGATTTAGTTTAACGTCATAAGCACCTGCCTTGCAAGTACACAGTTGTGAGTTCGATCCCTGGTACTAATAAAAAAACAAACACACAAAAAAACCCACTTAACTTATGCCTGTGATATAAGACATTAGAAGTTTTGTCCATAATGATGTGTTTTAAAAAACCTTTGGCTCTATTATCTTTTTCTTTGATCTTTGTGTTTTGTTTTGTTTCTCCCTCTCCTCCCAGAGTGTTTCCATGTCGCATCAAAGTCTTCTGGCCACATCTTATGTGGTCAGCCACCAATGTCTGATCATTTGTCCAGCGGAAAGGGTGGTGGCTGAGGCCCTAAATCCAAGACTTGTGAGATCATCATTTGCTAACATCTTTGGAAACTCAAGGAGCAAATCCTCACTGAGGTCAGGAGGCTGGAAGCACAGACTCACCTCCTGCCCAAATCCCGAGCACCACCTCCCCCCAGCAGGTCCTAGCCAAGTTATTCCTGGCAGTATGAGGTGGAAATGCTCTTTTGTTTTTCCTTCCTGAGGGGCCATTCCTTTTCCAGGTTCTTCTCTCATTAACCTCTTCTCCTCTAGGCTGTATATCCTCTTTGTCCCAGGTTGAGATCCTCCCTCTGTCTCTGAAGCTATTTGATCTTGCCCTCGCTCAGAGTACTGGGAGAGGGGACTTCTTTACAAGGCTAATCTTGATGCTTGCTAGGCAAAGATGCTGAGAGGGATGGTGGTGCCTACCCAGGACTAGGTCTTCAGATAGTGGGGTGCCCAAAATACTTTCTGAACACTTCCATTTGGACTTCATATGATCTGAATTCAGAAAGGGTATATATGAACCAAGCTGAGTTTATTCTTATTAAAGTCGTAGATAAAAACATTTATTCAAGTTAAGATCTAAGAAAGCAAGATTGGAATATTTTTTTTGTTTAGCCTCCTTAAAAGTGAAAGTGTTTTTAGGCTTTGTGCAACAGTTTGTATGTAAATAGCTTGTGTTAATTGCGATGGAATCCTACCTTTTCTTTAAAGTAGACCCCCAGGGATATATATGTGGAAATACTTTGTTAGCAGTTACTCAAAAGCAATACAATTATGGTTCTCTCCAAATAGTCTTTAGCACAGACTTGTTTCTAAATCAGGTGAGGAAAGATGGAGTTTGTCACACAAGCAGCTGTCCTTATAAGGAAGAACTTTCTCACAGTGGGAACTGTCAATACCCAGGGGTTGGGAGTGGGGTGGGGGTTGGCACCTCTTGCTGGGACTGTAGGCCATGAAGGAAGTGCTGGAGAAAAAAAGGCTCATCTTTGTTTCCTCCACCCTGAGCACTGAGGAGGAGATTGGTCAGACGAGAAATAAGATTCCAACACATCTGCCTGTCACAGAGCAGCCAGGAATACTTGAGACCATGTAGCATCAGGGGCCATTGAAGTGAGAGGGGCTGGGGGGGGTTTCCCCAGGAAAGGGGGTAGTTCACTCTCACCAAGGCTGATTGTTGGGCCCCATCCTCAGGGTTAGGGCAGGTAGGCACAGAGGTCTGTGGGGGCTGCAGATACAAGAGTCTTTCTGTCATGAGATGGGCAAGGTGTCCTGAGTGCAGGATTTAAGGACTTATTCTCAGACTTGCCGAGTCCAAGGTTGGGCATCCCCTTCAGTTTTGCACCCGGAGCTTAACCTTGCCAAACCTAAGTCCCATCCTTGATTACTGGCTTGCCCAGGGGAGAGAATTATTGAAAAACAAAGCCTACCCCAGTGACAGATGGGGTGAGACTGGAGCTTCTTATGGTTTCCCTCCCCAAAACAGAGAGCAGGAATGGGGGCCGCAGCCAGCTCTTGTACAGCAGCGAGGTGAAATCAAAATGCAGCACAGATGATCAGTCCTTTCCTACTCTCTTCCCAGAGGACTTGTAAGCCATTTTCTCCTGTCCTCTCCTTCACATTCAGCCTCAGCATGAGAAAGAGAACTGTTGGCCTTGAGCAGTGAACTTAGCAATAAACTTGCCCAGTGGGCCCAGCACCCCTAGCAAAAGAGATCTTCAGGCCAAACGAGCAGGTGCATCCTTTAAAATGGTGGGGATGGAACCTGACAGATGATGTGTTCTCCAAGACCCCGGGTCCTTCTCCCCATGCCCCATCCTACCACCATGCTCCTCCCCTTCCTCCTCCCCCAGTGCTGCATGCAGACTGCAATCTGGAACCCTGCAAGTTTGGGGGGCACCAGACAGCCTGGTGAAACTCAGCTCTGGCCCTGTGTTACCTGTGGCTCTGTGTTCCTGCTCCCAGACAGCAGGAAGCATGGACTGCATGGGTCATCTTCTGCACAGAAAAGGCTTAGTTCTGTGTCCTGTGTATTTCTATCAGCAGAG